TTGGATTTTCAGAAGTTGGAGTAGGTTCGTGGTGTCATTTATGACTTGTGTGCAAAATTTGAGGTCAATCGGACGTGATTTGATAAGTTTCGACGTCATTTGTAGATTTTGGAAATTTCAAAGTTCATTAGGCTTGAATCTGAGTGCAATTCATATTTTTGATATTGTTTTAGGTGATTTGAGGGTTCGACTAAGTTCGTATGATGTTTTGGGACTTGATGGTATGTTTGGTTGAGGTCCCGCGTGGCTCGGGTATGTTTCGGAGTGAGTTTTGAGCGAGTCCAGGCATTTTTTGTACTCTGATTCTGTTCTGGTACATTTGGAACTGCAGGGGCACATTTTGGAGTGCTTAGGCAAAGACTCAAGTGCGGATCTAGGAGGAAAAACGCGGACCGAACAATTCTTCTCGCGGCCGCAGATCAGAGATTCTGCAGGTTCGATGATCTGGTTTCGAAAGCTTATATCTTTTAATCTATAAGAAATTTGGAGATGATACAAAAATAAATGTTGTAGCCTTTTGTGTCTAGTTTCCATAAAGGTAATTCAATCAATATTTGGATATTTGTACAGAAAGTTATGACCAATTTACTAAATCCTAGTAGTGTAGTTTTGCTGAAGTGCAGCGAGCAATTTGGATCACGGCCGCAGGACTTGGGATGTGCGACCGCACCAAAATATGGGCGGTCAGCACATTGGAGGGAAGACCGCGTACTATATAAATGAGGATTAGGGTATTATTTCACATTTGCACTTTGGGAGCTCGGTTTGTGGCGATTTTTCATGGGGTTTTCAAGAAAATCATTGGAGTAAGTGATTCTAACTTGGATTTGGTTAATATATATGTGAATGTATCATTCATTAGTTTCATCATTTAATTAGTATTTTGAGATGGAAATTAAGGAAAAATTGTAGAAACTTCATAAACTATAATTTGGGGATTTAAAAGTCGAGTTGTGATCGGATTTGACTAATTTTGGAATGGTTGAACTCGTGGTCGAATGTGTATTCGAATTTTCTGACTTTTACCCGATTGTGGGATTGAGGCCCGACTTTTGAGTTGACTTTTGACTTAAAGCTTAGTATTTTTTCATGGAATTGATTCCTTTAGCTCGTATTGATTGTATCGAATTGTTTGTGGCTAGATTCGAGGCATTCGGAGACCGATTTGCGAGGCAAAGGTGTGTTGGAGTAGAAATTTACTCGGATTGAAGTAAGTAACAGTTCTAAATCTGGTCCTGAAGGTATGAAATTCCGGATTTTGTGTTATGTGATTATTTTGAAGGTGACGCACATGCTAGGTAACGGGTGTGTAGGCGTGCACCGTGGGAATTATGACTTGGTCCGTTCCGTAAAATTGTAAAGTTGAATAACTTGTTGTTAGCTATATGCTCTCTATGTGTCATAGAAATTTGACCATAATTCATGTTAGAAATAATGTTTAGGCTATGTGTTGGTACTTTTGGGACCCACAAAGGCCGTGTTACCTGTTGAATTACCTATTAAATGCTATTTGTACTCAGTCTATATTTTTACTCGCATATCATATCTCAATCTCTGTTATTCTTATTGATACATCATGTTATTGCTGTTTGGGCTAATTTTCCTGATTTCTGAGAGCCCGAGAGATTAGAGAGATTGATGACTGAGTGAGGCCGAGGGCCTGATTGTGAGGATATTTATGGGATCGGGTTGTACGTCGCAGTATGTTTCATTGATTTATGCCACGATCAGCTTGATATAGTGCTTGGGCTGTAGGAGCCCCTCCGGAGTCTGTACACATCCTAGTGAGCGTAGGTACCTACTAAGTGTCGAGTGTCGAGTGCCGAGTGCTGAGTGACCGTGAGGAATGAGTGGCTGCGAGAAATGAGTAATTGTGAGGTTGGAGTGAAATGGGAGGACTGACTGATTGTTGCCCATGAGAGGCTGTATATGATTTCATTGTTGTTGCACATAGTTGTCATAAATCACTGTTTTGAAGACTTATGAAATATATTTTATCCATTTTTACTTGAGTTTGGCATGTATAAACTGATTTGACTAAATATTTTCACATTTGAAAGCATGTCTATTTTTTTTCTTGTTGAGACTACTGAAATTAAACCACAACTGTGTAGCTCGTCACTATCTTTCAGTTCCTTATTTACTATTGTTACTTACTGAGTTGGTTGTACTCTCACTACACCCTACACTTTGTGTGCAGATCCAGGAGTTTCTAGATGCGGGGGTTGTTGATATTTCACGTAGCTGACCGTTGGAAATATCGCGGTAGCTGCCTGGCATACGCAGTCCTTATTTTCTCCTTCCTTACCTTTTCTTTCATTGTATTTGGATCCAAACTGTTATAGACGTTTCGTTTCTAGAATGGTTACGTATAGATGCTCATGGGCTCAGTGACACCTCGATATTGGGAGCTATTTCCGCACGTGTTTTGGGTTTTACCCATGTTTATGAAAACTTTGCTATTTAAAATTTTTCGATTCATTTTCTGTTAAATATTGGAAGTATTTTGAAAATGTCGGCTTGCCTAGTAACATCGATAGGCGGCATCACGACATATTAGGATTTGGGTCGTGACATTTAAGCAACCATGTCGAAAGATAAAAAAGAGAAGATCAACAATGAGAAACTATCAAGCTTCTGGTAAGAGAGATAAAGCGAGATACAAAAAATGAAATTTTAGGTTGAAGATGAAGGGATTCCACACCTATTGAATAGTAAAACTGAAAGGATGGAGAGTACTCAAAAAGAAAAGAATTAAGGATAAAGAAGAAGATATGTGCAAAATTAATTGCAGCAAGAATACAAACAGATCTTGAGAGCAAGAAGAAGATGGTAGAAATAGAAGGTATACTCTTTGAATTAAAAGTACAAAAAAATAATGAAAAAAGCTAAGTTGTCAGACAGCTGTAATGAAATCAATACACGTAGGGTTTGGGGAAACTTCCGATGACACGTATATAACGAGATACTTGAAAAGACTAAAATGCCCTCAAATAAAAAGTTAATAACTTTAAGCAGTGATGTCGAAAGACTTGCTCTTCTATATTATAGAAAATTTTGAGAGTTAAAACAAAATTACTAAATGACTACCTATACCTTCCCATGCAAGATAACACTAGAAAGCCCTTCTAGCAAAAAAATTCACTCAATAAAGCTATACTAACAAAATATTAGACCCCAACAAAAATTTAAAAAAAGTATTATGACATGCAATTTTAGTGGCTCAACCATTCCTAGAAGCAAAATCAGAAACAAAGAGCAATAATATATCAAATTTGTTAAGCAGAAACAAATATGCCGATTATATACAATTTTTATTACAAGGTGTTGGTGAAATTACAAGTAATTATAGTTGAAAAATTAGATGAAGAAAATAAATAAATATTCTTCAAGCTGCGGCGCGGATATCGCGCTTTTTTTAAGGAGATTCAAGCCCACTGCGGTAGCATCTTTATCGGTCCAGCACTAATACTCTTGACTTGTCCCCTCCAGGATACAACAGCCCGACAACGTCGTATGAGTCAAAGAAACCCTGGAAAAGTTGTTGAGTCCAAAGCCCCACCAAAATGAACACCTTCCTTCAACAAAATAATATTCTTTTTTGTAGATAATAAGTTGGAGAATTAGATTTTTCTCCTTCTCTTAACTCTCTTTTTTACTACACCAATTTACTTTTTTCATGCACACTAATATTTCGCATCTACAATACAAGAAAGTAACACCACTATCTATAGGCATAAAATTTCTTCCATAGAATAATTAACAAAGTAGTGGGATAATAAAATTGTAGAACATGGTTGGTGATTACAGAATTTAACTTTTAGTGGTAGATTATGACATTAGTGGTTTCAAGAGTTACACCAAAATAATGATCACTTTCTTCTCAATTTATAACCACTATCTCACAAGAAATTATGCATTTTAATATTATAACTTTAATATTAAAATGCATTGACACAAACACAAGGCCTTAAAAGTAAATTAGTTAAGCAGTAATTCAAATCTCTTACAAAATATAATAATTGAATTTGAAATAAATAATAGGTTGAATATTCATATTCCAAAATTGACTAAAATAATTTAGTGGAATTACCACTACAAAATTACTAAATGAACGCATAGACGAACAAGATCCTTCAATAATCTAATGGACGCGAAAATTAGACATCATACAAATCACCTTCTTTTATGTGGTATTTAAGTATAAAACATCACTAACAAAATATATAACCACAACAGAAATAAAAATAAAAAGTATTATGACCTACCATTTTAGTGTCTCAACCATTGCAGAAGCAAAATTTGTCAGAAAAAAAATTGCCGGTTATATAGAATTTTTATTACAAGGCCTTGAAATTAGTAAATTAGTTAAGCAGTAATTCAAATCACTTACAAAGTATAATAACTGAATTTGAAATAAATAATAAGTCGAATAATCATATTCCAAAATTGACAAAAATAATATGGTGGAAGAACCACTACAAAATTACTAAATTAATATACTTAACGTCCACTACAAACAACACTAGAAAAATTCACCAACAACAAAAAAAAA